CAGCAGGTCTGGCAGCATCTGTGAAGGAGAAATTAGAGTTAACGTTTTGGGTCCGGTGACCCTTCCTCAGAACTGAGGAACGTTAACTCTGTTTTCTCCTTCACAGATGCTGCCAGACTTGCTGAGCTTTTCCAGCAACTTTGTTTTTGTTGGGATAGGATTTGATTGATTACTGGACAGCCTAATTTATTCTTCATTGACATCATTGGGTATAAACTAAACGAGAGCCCCAATCTTACAGTGTGGACAGTTTAAAATTAGCCCTCAGTTTCTTTTCTGATTAAAAGGTAATGAAATATTTAGGTGGGGATCTTTGATAGAAGTATCTAAACATTCAGGATTTCAACATTTCAGGAAAAATCTGTGATTAAGTCAACTCAATCTGCCCTTGTATTGTTGGATACAGTAATAACTGGTCACAATTTGGTAAGAGGTCTGGAAGAGAAATCTCCTCAAAAAGCAGAAAAGTTAAGTATGGACAGCAAACTAGGAGCTAATATCACAAAAATCACAAAAAAGCATGTTATAATTGAATTGAACCATTAGATGATCTCAACAGCAGATAAAAATACTGAATACGCAAAGGAGATTTATGCAAATCATACCAGAACTGAGATGTTGGCAAAGTTAAACAGGTTGGCGCTTTCTTTTCTCTAGGAGGAAGGAGACTAACCTTCTTAGAAATCTGAGAGAGTTTGATAGGAACATCAAAAATATTTGATATAAATGGGGAATATGTTATTTATTCTTGACACTAGAATAAGGGGCTGTAAATAAAGACAGTGACTAATAAGTTTAGTAGGTAATTCAGGAAAAATCCCTTCAACAATAGGGAATAGACATGGAATTCATTGAACCATAGAATCCCTCTAGTGTGGAAGCAGGCCATTTGGCTCATTGAGTCCACACCCACGCTCTGAAGAGCATCCCACCCAGACCCACCCTCTACCCTATCCTTGTACGCCTGCATTTCCCATGGCTAATCCCCATAGCCTGTACATCCCTAGACACTATGGGCAATTTTAGCCTGGCCAACCCGCCTGACCTGCACATCTTTGGACTGTAGGAGGAAACCAGAGCACCCAGAGGAAACTCACACAGACAGGGGGAGAATGTGCAAACTCCACACAGACAGTTGCCCAAGGGTGGAATTGGTATTGGCTTGGACAATAAAGCTACTTAGACCAGTTCAATTTGTTTGTCTTATTGACTTTGTATAAGGCAAGATGTAGCTGACAGAGTCCTGGTGGTATTTAATGATATTAAAAATCTGCAGTTCAAATCAACTTTTCTGAGCAACATATTTCTTGGCTAGAGAGTGGTGAATCTATGGAATTCACTGCCACAGAAGGCTGTGGAGGCCAGGTCATTGAGTACATTTAAGACTGAGATAGATAGGTTCTTGATTATCAAGGGGATCAAGGGTGACGGGGAGAAAGCAGGAGAATGGGGTTGAGGAACTTATCAGCCATGATTGGATGGTGGAGCAGACTCGATGGGTGGAATGGCCTAATTTCTGCTCCTATGTCTTATGGTCTTATGGAATCAAAGAACAAAAGAACAAAGAAAATTACAGCACAGGAACAGGCCCTTCGGCCCTCTAAGCCTGCGCCGATCCAGATCCTCTATCTAAATCTGTCGCCTATTTTCCAAGGATCTGTATCCCTCTGTTCCCTGCCCATTCATGTATCTGCCTAGATACATCTTAAATGACGCTATCATGCCCGCTCTACCACCTCCGCTGGCAACGCGTTCCAGGCACCCACCACCCTCTGCGTAAAGAACTTTCCACGCATATCTCCCTTAAACTTTTCCCCTCTCACCTTGAAATCGTGACCCCTAGTAATTGAGTCCCCCACTCTGGGAAAAACCTTCTTGCTATCCACCCTGTCTATACCTCTCATGATTTTGTAGACCTCAATCAGGTCCCCCCTCCACCTCTGTCTTTCTAATGTAAATAATCCTAATCCAATCAACCTCTCTTCATAGCTAGCACCCTCCATACCAGGCAACATCCTGGTGAACCTCCTCTGCACCTCCTCCAAAGCATCCACACCCTTTTGGTAATGTGGCGGCCAGAACTGTATGCAGTATTCCAAATGTGGCCGAACCAAAGTCCTACACAACTGTAACATGACCTGCCAACTCTTGCACTCAATACCCCGTCCGATGAATGAAAGCATGCCGTATGCTTTCTTGACCACTCTATCAACCTGCGTTGCCACCTTCAGGGTACAATGGACCTGAACACCCAGATCTCTCTGTGCATCAATTTTCCCCAGGGCTTTTCCATTTACCATATAGTTCGCCCTTGAATTGGATCTTCCAAAATGCACCACCTCGCATTTACCTGAACTGAACTCCATCTGCCATTTCTCCGCCCAACTCTCCAATCTATCTATATTCTGCTGCATTCTCCAACAGTCCCCTTCACTATCTGCTACTCCACCAATCTTAGTGTCATCTGCAAACTTGCTAATCAGACCATTTATACGTTCCTCCAGATCATTTACATATATCACAAACAGCAGTGGTCCCAACACAGATCCCTGTTGAACACCACTGGTCACAGTTCTCCATTTTGAGAAACTCCCTTCCACTACAACTCTCTGTCTCCTGTTGCCCAGCCAGTTCTTTATCCATCTAGCTAGTACACCCTGAACCCCATGCGACTTCACTTTCTCCATCAGCCTACCATGGGGAACCTTATCAAATGCCTTACTGAAGTCCATGTATATGACATCTATAGCCCTTCCCTCATCTATCAACTTTGTCACTTCCTCAAAGAATTCTATCAAGTTGGTAAGACATGACCTTCCCTGCACAAAACCATGCTGCCTATCACTAATAAGCCCATTTTCTTCCAAATGTAAATAGATCCTATCCCTCAGTATCTTCTCCAGCAGCTTCCCCACCACTGATGTCAGGCTCACCGGTCTATAATTACCTGGATTATCCTTGCTACCCTTCTTAAACAAGGGGACAACATTAGCAATTCTCCAGTCCTCTGGGACCTCACCCGTGCTCAAGGATGCTGCAAAGATATCTGTTAAGGCCCCAGCTATTTTCTCTCTTGTTTCCCTCAGTAACCTGGGATAGATCCCATCCAGACCTGGGGACTTGTCCACCCTAATGCCTTTTAGAATACCCAACACTTCCCCGCTCCTTATGCTGACTTGACCTAGAGTAATCAAACATCTATCCCTAACCTCAACATCCGTCATGTCCCTCTCCTCAGTGAATACCGACGCAAAGTACTCATTAAGAATCTCACTCATTTTCTCTGACTCCTCGCATAACTTCCCTCCTTTGTCCTTGAGTGGGCCAACCCTTTCTCTAGTTACCCTCTGCTCCTTATGTATGAATAAAAGGCTTTGGGATTTTCCTTAATCCTGTTTGCTAAAGATATTTCATGACCCCTTTTAGCCCTCTTAATTCCTCATTTCAGATTGGTCCTACTTTCCCGATGTTCTTCCAAAGCTTCATCTGTTTTCAGTCGCCTAGACCTTATGTCTGCTTCCCTTTTCCTCTTTGCTAGTCTCACAATTTCACCTGTCATCCATGGTTCCCTAATCTTGCCCTTTCTATCCCTCATTTTCACAGGGACATGTCTGTCCTGCACTCTAATCAACCTCTCTTTAAAAGCCTCCCACATATCAAACCTGTGTCCCTGCCACTGTGAGGCAGCAGTGCTAACCATTGAGCAACCATGCTGCTCACAGAATTAATCTGGTGAGAGTGGTATAAATTTGTTTAAGGAGACGCGAGGCATGAGGGAGAAAGGAAATGAAGGATATGTTGATAAGATGATAAATAAGGATTGGAGGATGCTTGAGGAAAGCATAAGCACCAGCTTATGCCTATTATATCTTATATCCATCTTTTAGACTAAATGAGCAGTCTTAGTATTTACTTACTGGTAAATACTATGTAGTAGTACTAAGTAATAGTAGTACTTACCTCAGTATTGAAGTGATTTCTTGCATCAGCCCAAACATCATACAATCCATCAACCTCTCTGACTGCATAACTTGGACTAGTGTGGATGGCTGCGAGTACAAAATCCTTGACAGCTGTCAAAACACATTGTAACAAATGTTATTATCAAAGAGTTTGTGAAGGGTATTATTTCTTAGAATTTGTCCGTTATTTTGAAGGCAAAACAAAACAAGCACAATATTTCAATTTTTATTTGGGACATATAAAGATTTCATTCCATAGCATTGCCTTTCAGTTATAGAAATAAAGGCAAAGGGTGTGATTTTCCCTTCCATGCAGGTGGTGAGAAGGGGAAATAATGGTGTAACATGCCCCTGGAGGGAAACTCATTTCCTTCTCACTCTCTCACTAATTAAGTCACAGGCGAGGAAGTCCATGGGCAACTTTCTTGGCTTGTCATCAATTAAGGCCCTTAAATGGCCACCTAATGGCCACTCAAGGACCTTAACTTGCCATTTCTCTGATCACCTACCAACCTCATGAGTGAGAATTGTGGATAGTTCCCCGAATGTGAAACAAGGGCAACATGGCCATTGATTTGGAGGGGCCTCTAATTGCCTTAATCTGGGTCAATTTGAGGCACAGATTGGAAGAAAGAGATGGGCTCTGAAAGCCTCCGATGCCCTCACTTCTGACTCCCTCCCACCTCTCTTTCCCTGTGACTCACCCACTGCATGACAAGGACATAAAAAGTATTTAGCTTCTTGATGATTATATGTAGCCCTCAAGCAGCGGACTTCTGAATGGTTGCTAGTTTATGGTGAACTGGGATGTTATTGTCAAAGCCTGGGGTTTGCCAAGAAACTCACCCACGCACTGTCTGTCAGCTCTTAATAAGCTGATTGAAGGGTGATTGGTTTAAGTTTTCTCAGTGGTACGGGTGGCATGTTCATTACTCAACATGCACACCCCCATACTTTTAAAACAGAAAGGAAATTTCACAAATTTCACAAAATTTAAAAGTCACAGTCACCAAGAGTTTTCACTTTGGGTACAACTGACTCAAACTTTGCTGGTTTTCAGGTTTCCAGGTTTTCAGCATCTAAAATAGACATAAAATTTTGTGAAAACAAAATTCTTGTCATTGGCTGAAACATGGCGTTGGAGAACCAGCAGATTGTCCCTTGTGGTAGTAGGTCACGCATTTGTGACAGTAAGTTCCCATGTGGTGAATTCCTGATTTCCTGATCAGAGGTAAGCTTACCTCTGTATAGGTGAATGGGTTCAGAGTGAGTTAAAATCATGCCCATTTTTAGTCTGTCACCAAGACAGAAAAAGCGTCAGAATCACTGAATGACTTGCGTCTTCATGTTAAATAGAAGTACAGCAACGGGAAAAACTCGGGGTGGCAGCTTGAGTTAGGAGGAGTAAAAATAAAATAACAATGATTAAAAGAAGTCTTGTACTGCAAAAACACTTCTTCCATGGTTTCAATCACAATAAAGCATCTTCTGCTATATGTCACTCGGTTTATGATGTAAGGGCATGTGGGGCTTGGACAATAAAGCTACTCAGACCAGTTCAATTTGTTTGTGTTATTGACTTTGTATAAGGCAAGATGTAGCTGACAGAGTCCTGGTGGTATTTAATGATATTAAAAATCTGCAGTTCAAATCAACTTTTCTGAGCAACATATTTCTTGGTCAGAGCACAGGCCAGTGTAACGTGGCAATAAATTATTTGTATTTCTAGCTGAGGCACTGGCTACTAATAACATATTTCATCACTTCTCAACCAGGTTTTCAATCTTGGTTTTTTATTTGTCAGCAGGGACACCAGAATAATTTATTAGTTTTAGTGCATATGAGATTTTCTCAACAAAACAAAATAACTGTTTGAGATGACCAAAGCATACTTGTAGTGAGGGAATGGAAGTGCACTATAAAAGGTTCACGGATGAAAGTGTCGGTCCCACACTGTTCACAGCCATCATCAAAGTGGTACCACTCCATAGGCTTGAGAATATTCTCGCTGCCAGAAACAAAGCAAAGTCAGTCATCATGTTTGATTGTCAGGCAAATTGTTTTTGAACAAAGAACTGTGAATCCTGGAAATCTGAAACAAAAACTGAAAATCAGCAGGTCTGACAACTCTGCTTTCTCTCCACAGATACTAACATTTCGAGTCCAGTGACTCTTTGTCAGCATCTGCAGTTCTTTCTTTTAAATTGTATTTTAATGCTGCTAAAGGTATAGACAACAATTTTCCGAGTGCATTGAAGTCTAAATATGGTTCAACTTGGATTGTTTCTTCCTTACCTATGGCATTTTAAATTGCAAAATCTACATTTTCAGTCTAGTTTTCTCAGATACTATTTCAGTATCTGAGTTATTGCGAATAGTGTTGAAAATTGTGCAATTGACAGTGAACATCCCCATTTCTGACCATGATTGAGGGAAGGTACTTGATGAAACAGCTGAAGATGGTTGGAACTTGGACACTAACCTGTCAACCTTCTGCACAGATGTCTTGGAGCTGTGATCTCTAATCTCTAACAAACACTATCATCTTCCTTTGTGCGAGGTATGACTCAAACTAGTGAAGGGTTTTCCCCAGAATGTCATTGACTTAGTTTTACTAGGGGTGTTTGACGTCACTCTCATTCAAATGCAGCCTTGATGTCAAGGATGATCACAGGATGTTCCTTTAATAATTGGACAAAGTAGCCCTACAAGGACAATCTAGATTAAATGCACTTGCATTTCAATGGTAAAATATATTTCATGCAATTTTATAATCAACAAGTCCAGAGATGTTATTATACATCTCTGGAGCAGGTGGGATTTGAATTTGGGCCTCCTGGCCTGGAGGTAGGGATGCTGCCATTGTTCCACAAGAGCCCTTCAGTGGCAAAATAATGTGCATAATGTGATACAATAAACCTGTTTTCGAAAGGAACATGTCATCTGACTTTCAAATTAATGGTCATTGGAATATCATTTAGTTTATATACTAATTTAAACTATGTTAATTCCCATTTAAGCGCCTCAATTGGTGTTGAGGCTGGAGTCATCCATGAACCTTCCTGTTCCAGATGTAATTGGGGCAGAGGTGGGAAGACGGCAGGATCCTCTATCCACACTCTGTAGCCTGATTAAACATTTCCTTGCACCTTGGAACAGGACTTTACAATCTGCTGTCAGTATGAACTTTAGTACATTCTGTTCTGGAGTGGGAGTGTGGAATACTGAAAGGGGAGTTTGTCGTGTAGTTTATTTGTTCTGGCACGGAAGCCTGCCAGAAGGACACTTTCCCATATTGCTTAAATAACAGGACTGAAAACATTAACTTTGCTTTCTCCCCACAGATGCTGCCAGACCTATTGAGCTTTGCCAGTAATTCTGTTTTCATTTCATCTCCAGCATCCGCAGTTTGTTTATTTTTGTTTTACTTAAATACATCTTTATCTGGACTGTCAAATATTATCATCTGTGTAAAATCTTCAGACAATGCGCTCTTCATTTTATCAAACCAGGAAGATCATATCATGGTCATTATGAGCTGGGGAAGCTAACATGTTCAGTAAATAGGGCAAACTTTTTTTTTCACAGAGAAGCTAAATGGATCAAGTCAACTTAACCCAAAACTCCATCTCTGTATCTCTGCATGGGAGATGGACAACTCGTGTTCAAGTAGGAGACTCACTTGTACACAAATGCATATTTTTCTCTGTATGAACTGCGACCAAGATGATCAGAGATGATGTAATTATATTGCAGTTTGGTTGATCTGTAAAACAAAAACATTATTGTTGCTTATTTTAAATAATTCAAAAATATAAGAATGTATAAAATCATCAAATTATGATCCAATTTGAAAAAAAACGGCTGTTTTTAACATATAGTGAATTACATGATAATTCTAAATTCCGGTCTCAGTTGCCAAGAAAGGGAGAGGTTATTTTTGTATCTTCAGTTTGTATATTTAATTCCATTGATGGTCATTGGTCAGAAAACCATACAGAACAGGAATTTATATGCTTCACATTTTACATCAGAGAGGAACTTATTGTTTGTGTGAGCAGCAATTGTTCAAAATAGTATGTTTGGCACAGTGCACTGTTGGTGTGATGTACAGATTCATGGATTGGTAGGACTTCCCTGACTTCTTGTGACTATATAGCTCTTCCTAAATCCATCCGATAATTCAAGTTTTCAGAATTGTTTTTTAAGTCCTTCCTTCCAACATTCCTTTCACAACCATTGACCAGCTATTGCATCCCACTAATTTTGGGCAGGAATTTGTGCAGATAATGCCTTAGAATTCATATCTCCCAGATCTCACTGAGGGTGGGATCATTTAACATCTTTCTTAGTTCTGACCTGAATAACTCCATCTTCAAGTTAAGGTCAAGGATAATGTTTCTATTTACTTACTGATTCAGTTCCATCACTAGTTGTGTTATTGCTGAATTGTCAGCGTCCATAACTTCTTCAATGGTGATAAGATCATACCTTTGTAAAATCTGAGGGAAAGCAAAAATAAGTGTGTGCTCAATCTATAGATGTTGCTGAATGTTTGCTTTGATTGTGCTTACCAGGATGAGAATGTTCAGAGTCCTGTGATCACTGACTTTTGACTGATCAAATCTCTGGATGTTAAATGCTGCAATTTTAAGCCCTTGACTTCCCTGCATAAAGCAGCCAATGAGAATCATCATCACAAGAAATGCCATTTTTGTGGCTCTAGGATTAAAAGAGAAACAAACAATTAAATGAGGTAAAGGCTTTAAGACTTAATTAGATATATACCCTTGTACAGCTCTACAAGATATTGAATCCATCAACTTGACAGCATTTGACAACATGGACAAAAGAACTGAATTCCAGAGTTGAGGTGAGAGTGACAGCCCTTGGCATTTAACTGAATGTGGCGTCAAGGAGACCTAGCAAAACTGGAATCAATGAGTATCGGGGGCAAACACTCCAGTGGTCAGAGTCATATCTGACACATAGCAGATGGTTGTGGTTGTTGGAGGTCAGTCAACTCAGCTCCAGGACATCTCTGCAGGAGTTCCTCAGGGTTGTGTCCTAGGCCCAACCATCTTCAGCTGCTTCATCAATGACCTTCCCTCCATCATAAGGTCAGAAATGGGGATGTTTGCCAATGATTGCACAACGTTCAGCACCATTTGTGACTCCTCAAACAATGAAGCAGTCCATGTTCAAATGCAACAAGACCTGGACAGTATCCAGGCTTGGCCGTCAAGTAGCAAGTAACATTCACGTCATACAAATGCCTGGCTATGACCATCACCAATAAGAGACAATCTAACCACCACACCTTGACATTTAATGGTGTTACCATCACTGAATCTCCCACTATCAACATCCTCGGGGTTATCATTGATCAGAAATTCAACTGGACTCACCATGTAACACAGTGACTACAAGACCAGGTCTGAGGCTAGGAATACTGCAGCAAGTAACTTACCTCCTGACTCCTCAAAGCCTGCCCACCATCTACAAGGCACAAGTCAGGGGTGTGATGGAATACTCCCCACTTGCATGGATGTGTGCAGCCCCGACAACACTCAAGAAGTTTGACACCATCCAGGACAAAGCAGCCAGCCTGATTAGCACTACATCCACAAGCATACACTCCCCCACCACTGACGCTCAGCAGCAGCAGTGTGTACTATCTACAAGAGGCACTGCAGAAATTCACCGAAGATCCTCAGACAGCACCTTCCAAACTCATGACCACTTCCATCTAGAAGAACAAGGGCAGCAGATATCTGGGAACACCACCACCATCAAGTTTTCCTCCAAGCACTCACTATCTTGACTCGGAACTATATTGCCATTCTTTCACTGTCACTGGGTCAAAATCCTGGAATTCGCTCTAATGGCATGGTGGGTTAACCCACAGCAGGTGGATGGCAGCAGTTCAAGAAGGCAGATCACCAACACCTTCTCAAGGGCAACTAGGGAGGGGCAATAAATGCTGACCAGCCAATAGTACCCATATTCCACAAAATGAACAAATAAAAAAAATTGTGAACAAGAACTGAAGGTATCAGATTTATTAGACTTTTGGTATACATATTTTTCCCATATTCAATGAATGGTGCACACACTAACATATCAAATGACTTTTTTATCCTGGCAAATTCTACACGAGAATGCTCTACTCATATTAATTTGTCAAAAAACAACACCCTCCTATCATACACTTTTAGAACCTGAACCAGAAATGCATAAGTTATAGATTCTTCCTCCTTCCTGTATTATCTTCTGATTGAGTTATAGAATTGTTTACTTTGATGTATTCTTTTCAAGACTTTTGTTGAAATGTTCACCTCCCCTTCATTCCTCCTGCAAACTTTATAAACCAGATGCCACATCATTAATTGCCAACTCCTTGATTTACCTTATAATTTCTTCTATTTTTTTCAAAGTCTGCACATACTGCACTATGAGCCTTGGTCCTTCATCTAGCCTCTTGGAATAAAAAGGTTGACTCAACATGCATATGCTTTTCTCCTCATGTTTTCCTTCCTTTCATGGAGACAATAGATTTTACGGGAATGCAGATGACCTAAGTCGTCATTGTTTGGAAGTGAATTTGGATAGTGAGTGCTGACAGATTATTTTGTTATGGTGGAGCTTTATGTGATGTGCAGCCAGATTTCCATTCCAGCAAGGGTCAGTGGTATAGGGCAAAAGGAAGGTCTTTGTCTATCTGGAATGTAAATACTGCATTGGTTGAGATGAGATGTGCCAGCTCTTGATATTCAACCTAAGACCTTCCTGAGCAATCAAAATCAAAATCATGCATGAAGGTGCCTTAATTTCCAAAATCATCAAGATCGATCTTATTCTACTTTTACTGTTGTCTCAAGAGCAATTCTGTGTATCCTTTTCACCTCAAAACAGCACAAAGAAAATTCACACTAATTTTTGCCCACAAATTTCCATTTTAGAAACATGACTTATAATAATTTTGATTAATGGCAGAAAAAGTGATCCCTTAGTTATATAATTCCACTGTAATGCTACAACCTATGTATCAGCAAGTACAGATATTTTCAAGCATAAAATATTTTACAATAAATATCACCAAATTGATCATCACTGATTACCCAAATGTAACTGTTTCCTTACATTAAAAATTCATAAACTTATAATTGACCATTATTAAAGTTCTTCGGAAAATGTATTAAACTTCAGAGTTTACAAATATATATATCAACAATATCAACATTTTTATTTTTGAAGAAAATTCACAGTATAATAATATTGAATTTCAATTTACTGTACCTGAGAACAAAACAATCTTCAGTCAAATGAATCTCAACAAAATGAGACTACACTCAATTTGTTTTTCCATTTGTTAATATACACCGAGGGTTGATAAGCATTATTAATATGCATTGTTAACTTACAGACATGGGAAAATGTGTTTAGAGACACCTGCTTTCAGAATTCCTACATGCTGTGTGAATAAACATTTACGTGTATATAATAAAGGGGTAGGAGATATTTCCTGATAAGATACATTTCTTCAAATGCTTTGCTGATAAAGTAAGGGTGTTTTAATTACATCACAGCTGTTACCTTCACATAAAAATCCACCATGTTCAGTTTCCCTTTGAGGGACTTAAGTAAATTTGATTCCGCTTCTGCCTGGGGATGTACAGCTTTCCAGTAACTAAACAAAAAGTCCTTCTTCGTGTACTAATTCAAGTGTACTCAGAGATCTGTTGGCCACACAAAAGTATCATGATCATGCCCAGTTCTCCTCTCATCTGAGAATAACCCCCAATGAGGCCAGAATGTTCATACAGAGACAAGTGACCACTAAATCTGTGACTTCCATGGATTAAGGGAAGCTGGAACTAGGGGGCACAGTTGATGACTATGTGCTCTCTCTTTTAAGATGGTAGTGAAGAGAATTTATTTTCTCTTAGAAGCCTGTAAGTCTGTTGAACTCTCTTCCAGAGAGCAGTGGAAGCTATTCCACCGAATTTACTCAAGACTAACTTATATAGATTTTGATGGACAAATTTTAAGACAAGGGTTGTGGGGTCAAACAGGGAGTTAAGAGCAGCCATGGTCTTATTGAATGGCACAGCAAGCTCAAAGTGCTGAGAGGCCTACTCTTGTTAACTTGTTCCTAAGTATGATTAAAAAGAACTGCAGCTAACCCACATATCTCTCAACTCAATAAGGGAAGCAGATTGCATTTGAAGGTATTCAAGATCAAACTGTGAAATTGTTTTCTCATAAGCTTACCTTGTTAAATATTTGAAGGCACTATATAAACTTAGTCAAGGAAGGCACAGGAACAGATGAAATGCAAACATTGAGCTTGTGATTTCCTTATGGCTGCTTCCACTCTGTTGCTGCAGCTTTGAGGAAGGTACAACTTAAACCCACAAGTTTCTAAGACACTTCCAGCAACATTTTGACACTGGAGCAAACGGAGTTTTGAGAAAATTACAGGTTTGCATTGATGATAAAACGTGAAGTAAACTAAGCCGCCCACCCATATTCACAAGAGAGTTAATAGCCAACCAAGGAAACAGGATCTTTCAGCAGAAAATGAAGCTGTATAAACCAAGCAATGTTTGAAGATCCTGAGCAAAATGAATAACTATAGAAGCATTACAAAAGGGCAAAAGGGAGGGAAAATAAAACTTGAAAGAGATATAAGGGTAGACAGACAAAGAAAAAGCACACAACATTATGTGTGTGTGGAATCTGATTTAGAGGAAACTTTAGAAAACACAGTTATGACTTTAACTTACCTGAATTATCGGTCAATCTAAATCTAAAGTTGAAGAGCAGTAATGTTTTCAATATGAAGTCAACCTTTCCCCACTCATAATAAATTCCGTGCTCTTCTAGTAGCCAGTTGTTAAATAACTAATACAGTATGTGAAACCATTGTATCACAACATCTACTCACCCATATCAAAATGAGAAGTATAAGGCCAGCTTTATTTACATTGCCACCAACATCTATCTAACAAAACTTCACTTAGTGTTTAAACGTTAAAACATATGAAATTGGTGTAATGTTCTGATGTTTTGAATAGTCTGTATGGCAGCTTATTAGAATGATGAGAAAACTGCACTTGGAACTAAAAGGTGTTTAATGTACAAAATGGGCATTCTGTTGCTAGAACCACAGTTACTCATGTGTCACATAGAAATAAGTGGGCTAGAAAACCTTTTGTAATTGATTAAAATAGAACAGAAAATGCAGGAAAAGCTCAACAGATTAAAGAGTACTGAAATGTTTATTTCTCCATCCACAGATGGTGCCTGATTTGCAGATTATTTTTGAGCATCTTCCCTTGTATTTTTGGTTAATCTGCAGCATTTGCCTTTCCTTAAAAAATATTGACAATTTATGTGCGAGTCATTGGGCAGGGTCTTCTGTTTCTGATGATGGTGAGGTTGGAGTTAGGAAAGGCATTTAATTAGGCAGGATGGTGGTGTACCCGAATCCCACCACTTTCATGCTTTTGCCAGAATTCACTTTTTGGCAGGTGTGATCACCCCTACAAGGCCCAAGGGGAATTTCTAATTAATCTCTTTGTGGAGCTCATTGAGTATGAATTCCCTTAATAACAGCAACAGCCCACTCAACTGGAACTCATCACCTGAGCCAATTATAAAGCAGACCCAGGAATGGCTTGCAGACTGTCTATCCTGGGTTAGAATTGCCTATGTATGCCATGAGTAGTGCCTCTATTTTTGTGTTCAATGATTAAATGATGTTTCCTGAGTTAGTACAATGGCGACGAGAATCAAGAAAGGTTTTGGACAGCCTTGCCTTTCAACAAATGCAATAACAGTATGAGAGGAAATATTAAAAATGCTGCTGTTTGGCAAACTGGAACCTTATGATGTGGGTGTGGAGGACTGACCTCAGAAAAGGATGAGCTACTCTTTTCAGGCAAACGAGATCGAAGAGGATCACTGACAAGAAGTCATGTTCCTGATTGCTTGTGGAACCCTGACTTTCAGCATTGTAAAGATCCCAGCAACCCTGGAGTCAAAAGCTTTGGACGAACTGATGGATATGTTAGCAGATCACCATGACCTCAAATCATCTGTAATATTGCAGTGTTACAGGTTTAACACGGCAACTAGACTTCCCGGGGATCCAGTTACTGAATTCTTGACGAGACTGAGGAAACTGGCAGAACATTGTGAATCTAGGTCAGCACTTCAAGAAATATCGAGGGTTTGCTTAGTTTGTGGAATTAATAATATTACAACCCAAAGGAATACACTGACTGAACTAGATCTGGACCTCAAGAAAGCCATAGAAATGGCCTTTTCCCATGAAAACATAGAACAAGGGGCTCAGGAGCTTCAGAGGTCCATAGAAGGTACGGTCTGAACATTGGGCTACTTCCATTCCACACAACTAAGTCCCTATCAGATAATACTCAGCTCCTGGTTGTTGCCAAGGAGGGGTGACTGGAGTCAGATGCCGCAAGGTTCTATAACTGGACAGAAAGTTTCTCCACAATACAGTGAGGAGCATGAGCATCCGAGTTTCACTTGTGGACAAAGAGTTCACTGTAGACAAGTCTACCGGAATGGGTGGAACGTGTACTGCTCAGGCTGAAGAGCGAGCCATGTCAAGACAGGGCTTTGCAAATAAATCAGCCCAACGATGAGGAATTGATATAGCCAAATTATATCATTGCTCCCAAAGTGGCCCTAATTAAGATAAAACTGCAGGAAAATGGCCACCCCTGGACATGGAAGTGGACACAGGTGCCGCTGTATATATTGTTGGGGAGAAAACTGTAAGGAAACTCAGATCTAGCCTTTAAGCTGCAAGACACCAAGTCTAGATTGGCCACTGCACTGGGGAGCCCTTACGTATTACTGGGTTCACTGTAGCCCCAATTACACAGGCGCAGCAGACATTCCGAGTCCCTTTAATGTGGTACAATGGCCAGGTCCCAATTTTTTGGGAAGGGACTAGCTACAGAAAAATGGCTTGGATGGGCAACAAATCTTTAAAATGGTTACTGGTGATGAATATAAAGTCATTGGGAAGTATCCTGGAATGTTCCAAGGGGGCCTTGGGAGGATAAAGGCAGCAGGGCCAAGATCTATGTGCACTCAAAGCCTTAACTTAAATACGCCAAGGCACAGCTGGTCTTCTATGCCGTACTTGCCAAAGTAGAAGCCAAATTGGAATATTTAGAGGAACTTGCAAGATGGCGACAGAGTAGGGCTCCTGACCGGAGGTCATCCACTTCGATCACTCTTCTTTCTTCTTCTTTTCTCACTTTTTTCTTCCCTTCCTTTAGTTTTTTTTAGGTTTTTTCTTTCTCTACTTCTGGAGGAAGCTCAGTGGTGGAAGCAGTGGCAGCAGCTGCGGGACTTTGACAGTTGGCTGCAAGCCAGCTGGTGTGCCTGGGCCGAAATCTGGCACTCGGCAGCATCGCGACATCATTGATGTGCAGAGCGGGACTCTGCAGTGAGGCAGCTAACGTGGCAACAGAGCATGGCAGTGGCTGGGAACCAGCACGAGCACAGATGGCTGCAGCGGCAAATTGGTAGTTGAGGTCACAGCCTTGTGAAGTCTAGTGTGCCAATGGAGGTCAGCAGCAGTGGTCAATGGCGAAGTCGGCTGGTGAGCACAGGCTGGTGTTAGCCCAGTACAGGGGAGATCAAGCCCTCTTGGAGAATACCTGGCTTGGAGCATTTGCAGGCCCATGGCTTAAGAAAGGACTGTAAAGTTTGACTTTTTCTATGTCTGTAACTAAGATTTTGTACCTAGGTACCTAAGATGGCACCACAATCTACACTTTTCACTGTACTCTTGTACCCCATACTTGAGTACACATGACAATAAAACCTAAATCTAACTCTAAATCTAAAATCTAACTTGGCATCGTTGGCACAGTGAAATTTGCTGAATGGCTGCACTAGTAGTACCACTTTTAAAATCTGACAACATGGTCCTTCTTAGTGGGAATTATAAGTGAACAGAGCTCCCCACTTATATAATGCCATGTATAGAGACTTGTATGAAAAGCTAGTTGGAGGTCACATATTTTCTGAATTGGATATGATATATCTGCAATTTGGATGTTGTTTTAATCTCAAAGCTACAGCGAAGAAACATTTGGAGAGTTTGGAGGAGATTTTGTTACATTTCTGTGTGGCTGGTATCATACAAAAGCAAAAGGAAAAATCTGTGTTCCATGTAAACAAGGTAACATACCTCAAGTACAGGGTTGACAAGATGGATTACACCCTGTTGAAGAAAAGATGAAGGCCATTAAGCGGACTCTGGCTCCAAGGAACAAAACGGAATTGTAGTCTTTCCTAGGTCTCATAAATTACTATGGGACATACTCAACCTGGTGACCCTGTTGGCACCCCTCCATGACTTGCTAAAACAA